AAGCGTCTCCAAAATACTCGTGCACACAAACAAGCAAACACCCCCAGTGTAATACAGACATGCTAAGGCTCCAGTCAATTAATGAGAGCATTGAGAAAACAGCAACAGAGACTAAACTGGCTCATAAATTCGTGTATTATGGCAGAACCCATTTCAGAGCCAGAGTGAGATCATGAAGAACTTCAATGCCCTCCAAATTTCCCCAGGAAAAACCAAAAGCAAAGGCAAAGCTGCTGGGACTGCACCTCAGTTTAGGAAAGGTGAGAGAGATGCCCTTAAAGCTGAGTGATCAGTACCCCACAAACACCAAACCCAAAGCATTTGGGATCCAACTTTGATCACCCGTGGAAGTTTCAGTGGTTAGGCCACAAATCACAGAAGAAATTTCTCCTGACGAGCTGTGCCGTGGCACAGTGCCCACGCTCCCTCGCCCCAGAGGCTTACCAGGGACTTTTGCAATGGAAAAGGCCTTGGGATGCAGAAGGTGTTTGGTTTAGCTCAGCAGGGAGGGAAAGCAAGGTTACATCTGTGGTTCACCACAAGCCTCCAGTCCCAAAATAGCCACCCCTGACAGCGCCGCGCGCAGGAAAATTCCACAGGAGCAGAGCCACAGGCAGAGCTTCTGCACACCCTGCTCCCCTCCACAGCCCATCACCACCACCAGCCCCCTCTGCATCCCCACAGGCTTGGAGGGTCGTAAAGTCCAGCTAAGGAGCCAATTTTCCCCCAGGAAAGCATCCTGAGACTCGTTCTCCTTCCTTCTCTCGGCTCCTCACCTCCAGCAGCCCAGGAGCACAACCTGTGGAGGTGCAGCCACCTCAGAGCCTTCCCCCCTTCTTGGCTAGTGGGGCAAAGTCTGGGTTGGAATTGGGTGGCTTTTGGTGAGGGAAGATTTGCAGAGTTTGGGGAAGCAGCTGCTGCCCCTCACACCCAGGCAGTGACCGGGATGCTGGAAGAGGAGACAGGATCTTTGAGCCCAGCCATAAACCCAACACTGCTCATGACAAACCCCCTGTTTCCCGTTGGCTTTTGTGAATTAAAGTCTAGGAGAGCTGCAAGCAGGGGCTAGAATCTTAAAAAGCAAAACTAACCACATTTAAGAAAATTTTTGCATGCCTGTATCTCTGCTACTCCTCACCACTTCAAGGTACCAGGTTTCTCATCCCACAAGAAACTTTCACAGCTTTTTTGCTAACTCTGCCCTTTGCTCCACAAACACTAATTTTCCTCTAATGGATTAACATAATTGAATTAAACTTGGGCCAATTATTCCAGCAGTTTCCCTGCTAAGCTTAAAATTTGCTCCTTCTGAAGAAGGGCTTTTGTGCCTAAAAGGCAGCTTGTTTTTTTCCACCTCTATCATTTGGTCTAATAAAAGATATTACCTCTCTCCACAACCTGTACCTCTCTCTTGAGCACACTTGAAAGGAGAAAAATGTTTACCCAGCAAAGAAATGTAACTGGCAAGTTATTTCCCCTGACTGACTCTGATACCTTTGAAGGTTATTTGAGGGATCAAAAAGAACTCCTTCTCCCTCCCAGCCCAGCAACTTCCAGTGCTCAAAGCCTCAGCCCAGAGCCCATGAATTCCTATTCTGTTGCTGCAGCAACAGCTGCAACATCCCAGATGTGATGCAGGTCCAACCCCACATTCCCCAGGTGCCCAGAGCACCCTAAATTTGATCCCTGGGTACAATGGGTGCAGTGCCAGGACAGGGAGAAGGAGACCATGGGTGCCTTTTAACTCAGACACCTCTCAAAAAGAACAAAACCTGAGCTAGAAAGTCTGATGTGTCTTATATAATATAAAGTGCTGCAATCCAACATGAATAATTCTTTCGTGATAGCTCTCAGCATACAAAGAGAAAGCTGAGGGCAATAAGGAAGTGAAGAGTGAAAGCATTGCCTGCTGAGAATGAGGAAAACACACCATGGGAGGGCTGAGACCTCCACAGGACAGGCTCTGCTCTGCCCCACCAGCTCTAGCAGTCCCTCTGTTTCAGCAGCCCCCAAAAAACCCAGCTGGGCTGAATGGCCATGCCAAGGCTGCTCAAACAAGCTCTCGGCAAGCTCCTGCCTTCTGCCAGCCCAGCCTGCAGTCACACACACTCTGTCAAGTCAATACTATAAACAATATCACTCTCCCATCTCCCACACCTCGGATGACCTTTCTGCTGAAGCAGAAGTCACACTCTGCCCAGCAAAGCACTGAAGACCTAAACCTTTGAGTTGTGTGGATGTCCACTGAGCAGAACAGGTCAGCTTTCCTGGAGTTTTTATCATCACAGTCACACATGCACACACACAACATTTCATAGCCACAACTGAGAACACTTAAATAATTTTTAAAACAAAAATAATAAAACTTGAGCAACAAACAAGCTGGTGCTTTTTGTACCAAGTTCTGGAGGATTTTTAATATTACTTTTGCTGTGATGTCAGGTTTAAACACAGCAATTTTTAATACTTATTGGGCAGGGTTTTTACACTGTGCTGCACTGAAGATGCAGACACCATTAAAAGTGTCATAAGCACTCATTTGACCAAATTACAAAGAGTCTTGATGAGAGGTTGCAGATGGAAATGAACTATGAGATGAATAAAAAGACTCAATGCCAAGGACTTAGGCTGGTCCCAAGCTGGCAGATGCAGAGATATTGCCACAGCCCAGGGATACCACGGCTGCACAGGGCTGGTCCAAGCACTGCATGACACAGAGACGCCAGAAGTCCCCACTTCCCCCCTTGTGGTCTCCATGCAAGGTCGTGCAACTTCCCTAGAACATGTCTAGGAGTGAACAGTGCTGTGCTGAACTCTGAGACACTGAGCAGACTATAAATAGGATCCTGGAAAAAGGGAAAAAAAAAAAAAAAAAAGGTAGACCTGGAACAGGCTGTCAGAGATCACCTCATCCAACACGTCTCCTCTGAAGGAAAGGAGGAAGGAAATTTCCAGAGGGAAATCAATGATGTGACTGCAAATTCCCTGCACTTCCATTGAAAATGCTCCCTCATCCCAAAGCATGGAGTAAACAAACACATACACAAGGAAGAGGGAGATAAGTTAAACTAATAAACCCTCAAAATTCAGTGTGAATTCCTGTGCATCAGCAAAGCTACTGCAGTGATTCTTTAACAGACAAACACCACGCAGGGACACTGCTGGGGACACACAGCTCCTCACCCATCTGATCCCACAGACTCAGGATCTCAGCTTGATCCCACCTGGACACATCCTGGCACATCTAACCCCACACAGGTGTGGGTGCTGCTGGTGATGAGCCACAGCAAGGACACCTGGATGAGGGGACATGCACAGTGTTCCTCCCACACACAAAATGCAAGCAGAACCCCAAACCTGCACAAGACTCCAAAAATTCCCCAAACCAGCCACACAGTGCCTCTCTTCACTACAGAATTCCCATAATTAATGCTGCCCTGGTGCATCCATATTACATTTTCAGCTGGCAGGCTGAAGGCACCCTGGCCAGGTTCTATCAACCACTCTCTGTACGAGAAATCACAAAACTCACAATGCCCTGAGAACTGGGCTGGAGCCAGCAACTCCTTCCCTGCTGGTGCTCAGGGCAAGTCTGAGCTTTCCTTGTTAAAATAACCCACACTGCCTTGACAAGGCAGTGGCTTTTGCCTTCAAAGTGAAAATGTTTCTAAAAACTTTTGGGGTTAGTCACCAGGGATTTTAAACTGAAATTTGTCATTCTTTATATTGAAGAAGCAGATCTGGACTTTCTCTCCTCTTCCCTTCCCTTTTTTTTTTTTTAATCTAGTTTTAAGTTAGTTCTCTTCCCACAAAATCTCTCTTCTAGGTTAACAGAGAAAAGAGCAAAAACACACATAAAGCCAGGATGGAGTAAATACCACTCTTCTCCTTTCTCCATAGGGGAGAATAAACACTTAAGATGTGGCAGGGGCTTCACACTTTTCATTTTCTAAATTGAGACCACTACCAAACTCTGAATCACGTTTGTTCAAGGCTTTTTCTGTGTGTAGTTAGTGACAGGACAATGGGGATGACTTCAAACTGACAGAGGGAACATTTACACTAGGTATTAACAAGAAATTCTTCCCTGTGAGGATGCTGAGACCTGGCACAGGGTGCCCAGAGCAGTTCCAGTTCCCTGGAAGTGTCCAAGGCCAGGCTGGATGGGGCTTGGAGCGGCCTGGGACAGTGGGAGGTGTCCCTGACATGGCAGGGGGTTGCAATGAGATGATCTTTTAGGTCCCTTCCAGCCCAAGCCATTCTGTGATTCTACACATCTGCAAGAACAAACCCTAAATTTAACACATCTCTCCTTTTTTCTTCTTCTTCTTTAAAGCATCACTTCAGCCATCCCTGAAAAGTTTTGGGTGAACTCGTGTAAATGCTGCAAATGTGCAAGTGAAGTGCTTAGCCTGGACTCCTCCAAGATCTCTGCTCCTTTCTTGGGGTACCAGGCCAGGAAGCCATTTAAGCACTTCCAAGTGGTCCAAATTCCTGACAGAATGAATTTTCTTTAGGAGAAAGTTCTTATCTATAGAGATAAGATGGAAATCATTATGTACTTCCAGAACTATAAATAATTTCCATCTAATAAAGTTTCCATCTGCACCTCAGAGCATCTCATACACAACTATTCCAGCAGAAGAGGGAGAAGGTGGAAGTAATCCAGGTCACGCTTAGAAAAGCAATATATTCAAGCTTTGTTTGAAACAGAAAATTCCTTGGGAGAAGATCTACAGGGAATGAAGATGCTCTGCAGAGAAATGCAAGGCACACTTGGGAAGAGACTCCACCTGGAACATGACCACCAGATCACACTCAGAATAAGAAGAAAATTTGTCCAATTTTGGCACCACTAAAATGCTAAACATAAATTGGTAATCAGTATAATAGTCAGAGCATCTTAGCAATTTCTCCCAGCCTGTTGCCACGTTTGGTAGTCCCAACCTCAAATTATGAGGCTGCAGAAAATTGATTCTCCAGGGGAATCCGGTTCTTACCCATCTTTCCATCTACATCAGGCCTCCATTCCACTGGTCCCAGACTCTTGTGCCTTATCCTCCTCTCTCAAGCATCCACCCTGTAATGAACATACACAGAGGTTACAGATTAATTTTGACATGACAACAGGGTCAGGGACCACTCTTCCCAAAGCCTCTCCCCAGCATCACCTGGGAAAGAGGAAAACCTTATTTAGGGATGGAGACCAGGAGTCTGCCCTCCTCTGCACACACCAGAGGTAACACACCACAAACCTGAGACCTTAATGGTTTTAAAATCTGGGGGTAAACAACTTGTACTTCCTTAAGAGCAGAACATTTTAATTACATGATTTTTTTTATGTGCTTTTACATGATTAATGTAACCCTAAAGCAACAGCATCTTTAACACTTCAGATTCCACAGCATCCCTGTGGGATAACACTCACTTGGGGAACAGACTGACTGCAGGACATGCAAAAGCAGTCCTGAATCAAAGCACAAACCTAAATTTAGGCATTCCAAGTGGCAACCAACATTGCCCAAGGCTGGACCAGCTTTCCTCTGACTGCTTGAGAAAAAAGCTGAGTGCAGGCAGCTCTCAGCAGCAGTGACTGCCCCATCCAACCCTCATGGGAGCTGTGTCCCGGAGCCCTCCCAGAGTTTCTGCTTTAAATCTGCCCCCAACACCAGCACAAAAGTGGGGTCAGTAATCTGCCATCCTGCATTCAGCCAAACTCCTGCACCCAGTCAGGTTTTTTGGGGTATTTTAGCCACCAAGAAACTAAAGCAGGCCTGAGCTGTCCTGCTCACTAATGAAAAGCCTCATTTTAGACTGAACAAAGGCAAAATCCACCTAAAGATGGGCACCTTTTAAAGGACACTGTGATAGAAGACAACATCAAATTCCACTTTAGCTGCCTGATAAGCCCTCAGATTTCTTGGTCATAAACCTGTGTGACAGCACAAGAAAAGGGAGAAACACCTCAAGAACTTGATCAGACTTGCACAGGGACTAAGACATTCCTGTCCTGCAGCCACTGCAGGTTGCCCTGAAGTCAACGAGAGCCACGTGCTCCAGGACACTGACAGGGATCCTGGAGTGTTAAATATGGGGCACTGGTCAGAAATGGTAAGAAAAGGCACTTTGAGAAGCTTCTGACTTGGTCAAATCAATTCAAACACGACCACAAATCTGCAGAGGAGCAGGAATGGTCCCAAGCATGGATTAAAATGATTTTCTGCAGCTCTGGTGCCTCGGTGCTGGCGAGCACAGGGATATTTATCCAACCTATTTTGAGAGAGATGAGCAGGAAGGGAAGGTGATAAGAGAGCAGCGGAGGCAGAGACATCCAAGTGCCCCTGAGTTGTTCCTTCTCCTGCAGCTTCCTCCCAGGACAGCACCATCAACCCAGGGCCACCAGGAGCTCTGCTCTGTCCATTTCCAGCACCAAGGAGGAGGCACTGAAGTAACCAAACAGCTTGAATGGTTAAAAATCCTACCTTGAGAAAGAACTGGTCAGTCTGTGCAACACTGAATCAACAGGGAGCAGAAAACCAGCAAGACAGCAGAGTGAAAATTCTATCTGATTATAACAAGAGCAGGAAACAGCCCAAACCTTCACTTTTGCTTTCAAAACTGCTGTGACACTTCCAGGAATTAAGCTGTGTGCATAATTTGCACTGAGGGCCACAAGAAGATAGCCTGGATCAACTGTAAATTCCTGGGACAGCCCAGGCTACCTCTCCTATCAGAGCAATAGATTTTTCTAACGTCTTCCTGGAGACATTCCAGACCTTTCCAAACCATATCTAGTCACAAAAACAAGCATCCACAGGAACTGTGCAAACGAGCCCTGGAAAAAACAGGTGACCTTTCCATCAGCAGAGCCCTCCCCTGTGCTGTTCTCCATCACCTCTGCCCCAGCAAGCCCCTGAGACCCCACTGCCCACCCTGGTGAGCAAACCAGCCCAGCACACAGGGCAGGAAATCTCCCCAGATACACAAGAGAAAGAAGGGTTTTCTGTTTTAGCAGAAAATGCTAAATGTCCTCAGTGCTGAGGACAGCCAGCCTTCAAACTGGCCTGCAAACACGAGTGATTTCCGTGGCTTCCCAAAAATACATACCAGCAGCTTCCTGTTCCAGAAGGACAAATTCCTGTTTCTAGTACAAATTCTGTCCTATTATTACGTCCCTTAAAAAACAGGGAGGGGGAACAAATAAGAGGGCAAAAAAAAGGGAAAATCCTTTTCCTAGAGCTGCTGTTCCAAGCAGCTTCTCCAGGGAGATGAGCTCCCTGATCAGTGCTGGCAGTTTGGGACACAAAACCAGTGAGCACCTGAAACTGGGCTCCCACTGGCCACTGCACCCCTCCCAGAGCCCACAGAACTCTGCAAATCTACTCAAATCCCCTGGGAAGCACCTGCCAAGCAGTGAGAGAGCTCAGCAAGGTGTTGGCTCCCAGGGCAATGTATTCCAGGCTTGTGTTGTGCATGCAAGAGACTCTGTCCACTCCAGTCTGCTCAGGGAACTGCTGGATGTTACTTCACCTGCAGGAAAGCCCAGTATAGATGCTCTGATCCAGGGGAAAGCAATAATTATATTACAATAATTATATTACAATAATTGAATTACTATTATAATAATGGTATAGCAATAATTGAATTGTTATCATCATAATAATATAAAAATAATTGATTGTTTATCAGTTTTGATTTGCCTGAGCTGAACTTGGCAGACAGAGTGGCTCAAACTTCTTTACAGCTCCATGAGTGCAGGGTATGAGTATCTACATGAGAGATGTATGCAAGGTTATTAATCCACTTTGAAAATTAATCCCTGCTTTTCTTTTTTTCATCCCATACTCCTGGCTGGGAAGGGATTAAGCAAGACTGAGCTCAAGGCAGACAACAGTTCAGCCATGACATTCCTGTGCATCCATGACTCCTGCCTTTGTGGATCTAAATTACAGAAAGCAAAGCAGGGGAGGAGAGGATGGAGAGGTGTGATTTTCTCCTGGATGTAAGGGAAGATAAAGCAAAGGCACCAGGAGATTTACTGTGAGGAATTATGTAGGCTAGGAAAGCAGGAAGAGTGCAGCCCAGCACTGAGAGCTGGAGTCACCTGCAGGCTGCTATTGATAAATGGGATTTACAGTATCACCCACCCCAAAAAGGGTTGTTCTTACCCTGCAGAGGCTCAGCATCCCCCATAAAACACAGACTTCATGTCAGCATGTCTTGCCACTACTGCAGCACAAGCAAATAGAGCAAACAGCATCTCCCTCTGCAGTTTATCACCCTCACTCTTCCAGGGAAAGCAGCACCTACTCATTCCTGCCTGAGCACCACTTAGCACTTGGGTTTGGAGGTGTAGGGACACACCACTGTAAAAAAAAAATATAATAAAAATAATAAGCCACAGTTGCCCCTGAAATAGGGCTCGGCTGGAAAGCTACTCAAAGTAGCATTGCTAAAATTGGGACTTTCCTTGTTTTTTCAAGCAGCAGGGAACATGTTGGGCTCAGAGAGTTTAACAAGCAAGAGTCAAGCGGAAAAAATCTCTCCTTTTTAAGAGTTGACCACATTAACTTTCAGCAAGTTTCCGGGAGTGCTGCCAGAGCACTGGAGTTTTGTATACTACGGAACTGTTAAAAATATTATTGTAAATGTTATTTTCAAAAAGCTTCAGAGGCCAGCGCTGGGGTAGTGTAAAAAACAACAGCAAAGCAAATGAGATTGTTTTAATGGTGAGAACACAAATGGATGTGTGCTGATAGCTCAGGCAGCCTGCAGGCTTGGCAAAGAGGGATTCAATGCAGAGTGCTTGGAATATTACAGGTTTTCTCTGGTCATCCCAACCTCATCCTTACAGTTTTCTCTAGACACCACAGAACCTTCAACCTGCTGTACTAAAACTGCCCTGGAACTTGGATCCATATTCTGGGATACACAAAACAGCTACATTTTGGTGCCACTTCAGACACATAAGACCCTGCCCTCATGGCATTTTCCACCCAGGTTATCCAAAGGATATACCATGCAAGGGAAGTGAAAAAATAGCAATTTAAGACTGTGCATCTTTGTAGATATAGCACTTAGGGACATGGTTTAGTCATGGACTTGGCAGTTCTGGGTTAATGGTTGGACTCTGTGATGTTAAAAGTTCTTTTCCAGCCTAAATGATTCTCTGATCCCATGTTTATGAGCACGCAGCTGGGATGGACTTTCTGCAGACATGTGTGCAACCAGGTTTGCAGGTGTACCTCCCCAGGGAGCTCAAGGGACAAAGTTCATGAGCCAAGATGAGGAGAATCAAACCTCCCCTGAGGTTTTATTCAGGCTGCTGAGCTGGAGGTGACAAGCACAGACCAGCAGAGCTCATGGAAGGAGCCAGCCCTCGCCCTGGGAACTACAGCCCATGAAACCCAACAAGGAATTCTGTATCAGCACCCATCAGCTGAGACTTCTTCTCCCCAGTTTTTGGCCATGACACCCCAAAACTGCTTAAGAATCTCTCTCACAGCACCTGCTGCTGGGAGGAGAGATCTGTGTTCAAGAGCCATCGTGCTCAGTGGAGGATTCCTTCAGCCAGTGACCCAGCCAGGGCAGCTGCTTCTGCAGGAAAATCTCCCGAGCCATCCTGTTCCTCCTAGCACGACGTGTTCTGAGAATAAGAGGTTTAGAACCTGCCCGAGTCCTGCTGTCAACATCCATGACAGCCCTTTAAAAAAGCCACTGAGATCTTAAAACAAATCCTCTTCTCAGAAATTACTTTTTGTAAACGAAATGTTCCAGAGAGCACACTGCAGTGCTTTATCATAGAGAGGCTTGGGTAGGAAAGGATCTTCAAGATCTTCTAGTTCCATCCCTGCCATGGGCAGGGACACTTTCCACTATCCCAGGTTGCTCCAAGCCCTGCCCAGCCTGGCCTTGGACACTTCCAGGGATCCAGGGGCAGCCACAGCTGCTCTGGGCACCCTGTGCCAGGTCTCAGCATCCTCACAGGGAAGAATTTCTCCTAAGACCCAATTTAATCTCTCCTCGTTCAGTTTAAGACCATTTCCCCTTGTCCTATTACTCCATGTCCATGTAAGAAGT